AAAGAATTGAAAAACATTATCTGGAAAATATTTTTAATTCATACCAAACACAACCTTAAACTATATTATTGGACTATGTCTCATATAGCCAAGGGGTCACATGCTCGTCATAGACTTGAGTGATCATCTGTACTTTTCACACAAGATTGATATATTTTCTTATGTTTTTTAAATTCTGGAACTAATTGAAAATTGTGTACTAAATGTTTCAAGGAGAACAACAACTAGTTAGTCCTTCAAGGTGAAATTTCCATAAACATGAAACTTTACGTCAGACCATTATTATAACCTTGGATGTTTGTCTCTCATGGACAAATATATTCAATAATGAAACCGTGGCAAGAAAAACTCACTCTTAATTTCTTGTTTTTATAGTAAACTCAACATATCTTTAAACGAATATCTCAGTACATACGAAACATCTTTCAGTATGTGATGTAATTTTCTGCAAAACTTTTGTTCATGCACACGTTGATAAAAGTCAGTCATAAGATTAGCTACTAGGAGAGTTAGTTAATCAATCGATCTCTAGACGTTGAAAAAGACTTTGTCGAGCCATAATTAAATCTATTTTGATTCCTGATGATCATGGATTACTTATCCACTAACCTAGCCTACTGGCTTACCAGTAATTAATATAGTCACCAGAAATGTCACCGACAGCAAATTGTAAGAGAAATTAGGAACATCTTAGTGCATAATTATGGAAGAGCCATTGATGAAAGCCAAAATGGTAAAGAAACGAAACTTCTCCTTCTTAGTTTAATCATTTCCACATAATAGCAATTCAAAAAACTACATGTAAAGTTGAAATTCTTAGGCTTCGTGGATCAAGATCACGTATTACGTATATAACGCAGTTGCATGACGCTATAAATGCAATGCTTATTGGTTAAAATCCTATATCACCTTCAACAACGTTTCTTTCCTTTTCATTTTTCCATCATTAATTCCATTTGCTTTTGTTGATAATAATCGAACAAGGACATGATAACCTTTTTTACACTTTAGCCATGAAATAAAGGTGGAGCCACCATCAACGTCGTGCTTTATAGGCTCTAACCCAAAATATATTAAGGTAGGGTCCTAAAAATATTTAGAGATGTTTATGACGTGCTTCTTAGAGATGTTAATTATAACACATAAGCACTCTGGAAATGAATTGGATTTCCAACGGTCAAATCCGTCGGTAATTTGTCCGAAAAATCATGATTTTCGATAGAAAAGGATGGAAAATTTTATTTTGTGTGCATCTTTTTTGTTTCATAGTTTTGTGAACCCAAATTTTTGTGGATCCAGAAGTGTAAGATTGGGGTCCACAAATTTGTGAGACAAAAAGGAGACTCACACAACTAATGTAAGTTGTGTGAGACACACAATAAAACTTCTCGAAAAGGATCCGTCTGAGATTCGGTGGTCGTAAAATTTTATCAATGACAGATCGTCACTTATTCCACCGAGTAGAGACGACTTTTCAACGATTATTTAGCAACCAGAAAATTCCAACAAAAGATTAATTTTGAATAACCAGCCGTAGAAAATGTGGAAAATTCTAGTGTAGTGAAGGAAATTAGAAATATAAAAGAACAAACATTAGAGGGACTTTTTTTCTTTTTCATGTTGAACGAGTCAACTATATTTATTTGATTATATATCGCATATTCCCAACTAGATATGTGGTTGTTGTCCATTGGCATGATAAATATTTTCTAATTTGCTTCTGTAATTACGATCATGATCCATTATCCTCATATATAAGGATTTCCTTTCTTTGAATTTCGTTTTCTGTATTTTTTTCTCATTGCATGTGAAGTCAATTTCAGGAAATTGATAGCTTTCCAAGAATGGAAAAAAGATTGAAAGAGTAAGGCAATCAATCATGTCACATGTAAGATTTTCTTACGTGACAACTATAAATTGTCCTTGACTGTTACGAAACTAATCATGAAATTTCAAAAGAAGGGCAATTGGCTAATTCAGATTGATGTTCTTTTCTTTCTTGGGCAATAATTATAAGAATGTAAGTTGTCTATTAGATGCATGTTTCAAGGAGTAGTTGGCCCTTCTAGAAATTGCCATGTACATGAAACTTAATATCGTAGCTAAGAAAACAAAGCATCCTAAGCTTGTAAATTTGTCCCTCGATAAACATCTTTAATAATATCTCTTTAGTGAGACGCTCTTGAGTTATTTTCTTCTAGTCAAATTATAAATATTACTATAAAAGATCATTTCGTCAACACCATTCAGTCGAAATACAATTTCTGAAGTTCTTGCGACTAAACAATGAGAAAGTTATTTGATATCAACTCCTTGTAGCTAATCAATCATCTCAGACAGCGTGATAATGACCTTGATGATTGTTAGTTCGAACGTCTATTTTTAGTACTTTCCTTTCAATTCCTATGGATAATTAGCCACCTTTGTTAATTGATCATTAGGACAAAAGAAACTTAACTAACTAGCCTACCAACTACTACAATGATTCACCAGAAATGTCAGTGACATAAAAAAAATACACTTAACATCTTAAGACAGAATGATACTATTGAAAAGAAACGCAAAAAAGATAAAGGATCTTTGCATAAATAACCGGATTCAGTGTTTACATTTTTTACCAGTGTACGCATGTTATGCACTGCTTATGCGCATTTATATACAAATATACATGGATTATACATGTCTTTTACATTTGCTGGCTATTTTTATTTTAAATTATTTGGTGAGCGACTGTTTAGGTTAATTTATCAAAAGGGGATATTTGCATAAATAGTCGGAGGGACTCAATATTTATTTTTCTAGCTGGTATACATATATTATACACAGATTATGCATAGTGTATACATAATATACATGGATTATACATGTCTTTTACATCAGCTGACGATTTTTATTTTAAACTATCTTGTGGGTGGCTGTTTAGGTTAATTTTTCAAAAGATGGATCTTTGCATAAAGGATAAAAAGAAACAAAAACACTTGATCCTGTTGTGTTTAATTAAACTTCTAATTAGAATTCGTGGATGATGATCACATATTAAGTATATAGCGTATTTGCATGACACTACAAATGTAATGTATTTTATTTAATCTTACTTACAAAAACGTTTTTCTTATTCTGTTTCCATCATTACATGTGCTTTTGTTGACAATAATCGAGTAAGGGGTAAGATAAAACTTTTTTCTACTTCCATTATGGAAAAAAAAGTGGAGGCACTGTCAACATCGAACTCAATATTTTGGCTCCAAACTTAATGATAATAAGGAAGGGTCCTACCGCCTATGATATCTTGTTTTCTTTAATTATAATACTGATTAGGCTGCTCTTTTTGAATCTATATTCCACGTGAAGTCAATTTATGAAATTGATAAGCTTTCCAACTTCCAAGAATATGAATCGAATTCCAAAAAGCAAGAAGTAAATTTTCTTTGATACTGATATTCATATAATTTAATTTAATTTGAGATTAACCATGAAATTTCAAGTCTGTAGAATCTTAATTAGCAGCAATGATAACGGTCAGTTCAACATGACTGGATAAGCTACTTATTTTGTTAGTCCCTTCATATTTAATTAGTTTGCTTTAGGCAAACCTTTGTGAAAAAAAAAAAAGAAAAGCTCAATTCTGAGAAGTACGTAAGGAACCAGTAGCGCAAAACAAGTGAAAATATTACGGGCTAGCCGGTTTTCGAATCAGTAATTGAACAATAGCCAGTAGTTACAAAGTCATTGAAAAATACCACTATTTTTTGCGAAGCTAAAATCTAGACATCTCTAGTTGAAACACGAAAAGTTCCAGTGTAGTATATTGGATTATGGAGCTCAAACATATAAGCTTCCAACATATTATATTGGAACTCCATCACATTATGAAATTCCAGCATATTATGTTGGAATTTCATGTAAAAAATTTCGAACTCCAGCATATTTGTTACGACCCGAGATTCCCACCTTCGGGACCGTGATGACGCCTAACATTTTGCTTGCTAGGCAAGCCATTGTTAGAGGATCTTTAAGCCAATTTTAACCAATTCAAATTAGTAGAACCAATTAAACATAAATGAAGTTCATAATAAAGGACTAAATAGCGTAATAAACCAATATCTAATACAACCCGGATCTGGAGTCACAAGTACACGAGCTTCTAGAATTTTTACAAACAGAGTTTGAAATAAGTACAACTGTCACTACAAGAAAAACGGCCTTTAGGGAAGGGAAATATGGTCCCTAAAAATCCAAATCTGGTCCTAATAAACCAATTGCGACGGGAAAAAGCTGGTCGCCACCGGTCGCAATAGCTTCCGCCGCTAAAGGCCAATAACGACGTGTCCAAAAATCTGGTCGTTAAATGTTTTTAGCGACAGATAAAAAATCTAGTCGCTATATACCTTTAGAGACTACATATCTCGTCCCAATAGACAATTAATATGTTATTAAAATTATATATTTTCTCGTCGTAAAACAGTTTAGCGACCACCTTTCTCCTCCCTGTTAGACAATAAATATATTATGAAAAATATATATTTTTCGATCGTTAACCCATTTTAGCGACCGCTCTTTAACTGGTCGTAACTTATCTTTTAGTGACGAGCAACACTGGTCCCTATTTAAAATAATTGTAGTAACTTTAACGACCGTATTTCTAATCTCGATCTTATTGACCACAAGTATTCCTAAAGCTCGATGTCACAAAAAAGTTATTTTTATCAATAAATATCAAATTGCTACTCCCTCCGGTTCACAATAATTGTCCAATTTGCTTTTTTATTTTGGTTCAAAATAAGTGTCCAGTTATGTAATCAAGAAAGAATTCAATTTGTTTTTACAAAATAACCCCTATGTACATATCCCTAAAAAGTTTTCTTACTCCTCACATTAAATGTTTAATTAGGGGTAGTTTAGTCATAGTAGGTATTTTTGTATAGAATTTAGTATTTTCTTAATGGGCGTGCTAAAAACAAATTGGACACTTATTGTGAACAGGAGGGAGTATTGAAAAATCTAGATATAAAAAGGTAATAAAGTTATTAATTGCAATGTTAACATCCCATGATGTTAGTTTCAGTATTTGCTCGACACCTTAACAAAAAAACTTAGCTAACATCCTGAGCTAGACTATATGATATCAAGTTTTACATAGCAAAATAATAATGAGCTTGTGTATCTTCCAAACTTGCATCTTGACTTGTAGTTTCAATCTTCACAACCTGTAAGTACAAAATTATGAAAGGACGATAAATAACTATTGGTAAAATAATATATGCTAATTTACGATAGTAATGGTTAAACCACTTACCCCAAAAGCAGTCTAAATTCATCAAGTGTTATCCAGCAATATCAACAAGGCTACAGGAATATAGAAAATTAATTAGTAATGGTGCTACTGATTATGCTACTGAAGGTGCAACTATTAAAGGTGCTACTAGTTTTCATGACAAGGGAGAAATCTTAAAGGTGCTATTAAATGTGCAAATATTAAAGGTGCTAATACATATCAGCAAATTAGCACCCACCCTGCTTGAGAGTAAGTAGGACTAAAGGCATAGATTATATATGTTTGCTAGAACATATACATACAAAATATCTTCTGTATGCTTTATTATAACAAAGTGAATAGATAGTATCTTCATATCAGTCATGCGTGCAAGCAAATGGGTGTAATCTGAGGCTATTTTTGCCACAATGTCAAACCATTGAAAGGTTCAAGGTGAACTTGGGAGTACGCGTGATATAAAAGTAGTAGGAAATTAAGTGTCAGATTAGGTGACTTGTTCTAAAGTCTAAACCACCAAAAAAGATAAGACAAATTATCTAAACAACTCTCAAAGTCCAAACTCCAAATTTATCTATCTATCTAGAATTTGGAGAAGTCCATGCAGATGCAGTATATAAACTAGTATCCTTCCACCCTAGCTGTAATGTTCCATCACCTTGCACTAAGCTATAACCATGAACTGGTGGAACCTACTGGGAATTCTGGGGGACTAAAGAATGTGGCTAAGGTTTGGTCAGTTGTATCACCTAGCAAAAAGGCTGCTACAGATCATAAAAAGCAGGAATTTGCAGCAGCAAACATTAGGTATACTAATTCTTTTGATGCCTTGGAAATTGAACAGGAAGATGGCGAGAATGATGCTGGTAAGAAGTTGGAACTGGTGTGTGGTGATACAGTTTCAAAATCTGGAAAAAACAGCTCTCCAAGTAATGTAAAACAACAGTAAAATTAAAAAAATACAGATGCTCGACTACATATCACAAAGGACTTATGTACTTCTGATGATCACAAGGAAGGGGAATTACAAACGCCTGTTACAGCTGCTCCAACACTGGATATTTCAGTAGTACTTAGTACTGTTGTCAATAAAAATTCTCTTTTACTGTTCGAGAAAAAAAAGTTCTAGGCTTTACTTCAAATGGCACAGTATTTATGCTGAAGGCATATCAACTTCTATCTAGCAAGGTTCCAGCAATTAGTACTATTTTGCTAGGATAAAGTAAATCCTCAATGACAATGGAGATAGCAATAAGATAGAAATGACTATATAAATCAACAAAAAATTTAAAAAGTAGGGTATATTGTTACTAACTTGGTCAGCAGACAAAAGTAGTGGTCATTCAGTTGAAACGTGCGATGTCGAAGGCGAGACATGTGATTGTTTAGCAGCGAAGTATTCCTTTATTTTCCTCATTTCTTTCATCTCATCTTCTAAGGTAGACAAGCGATCATGTAAGGATTTGTTTTCCTCATTCAAAGATTTATTTTCCTCTCGAGTTGAACGTAGCACGGACAGTAATTCAGCCTTTGAAGAAGTGCCACCTTTCAAGTCTTTCGCCTTTACTCCATCCCAAAGCCAAATACATGGCTACGAGTTTGAGGTCCACAATATTTTTCTACTATCTCTATGGTAGGTAAAGATGGATCAGATTGAACTATTTCTTCAATCTGAGCCTACAAAACATATGAAGAAATATTTTATATTAGAACCGATAATAATTTCAAGTAATTTACATGTTCAGTTGACTAAACATACATGTTTTTCAATTGCTTCAGGTTCAACAAGCTTGTTATTTTTCTTACGAGTCTCAAAGAAAATTGTTGCCAAATCTGGTGGATTGCCATCTTTCCCGCCCTTTACATCAAAGGCAAACATGTCAGAAAACACCTCGTTTAGAAATTGAAAATGTGTTTAATATTTAATAGAAAGATTGTCATTTGAGAGCTTTCAATTCAAGAAGTAATTGTCTGATCAACATATATTGAACTAGACATTGCAAATAGAAAGATTGTCATTTTAGAGCTTTCAGTTCAAAAAGTAATTGTCTGATCAACATATATTGAACTACACATTGCTAGAGATTGAAAACATTCCTTAATCCAAAAACCAGACAATCCTTAGGAGAGTTTGATTTGACTGCCACTCTTTTTCCAGATCTTTCATTGATTTCAAGTCAATCAAATAGGCTTTTGCATGAAGAGCTTAGTTATAATGGCCAAAATACCAATTGGAAGATCAATACCATTGTCTAGTAAGAGAATGATGGCTACTGCCCAGATTTCTATTAAAGAGGACCTGTGCAGATACAACTTTTTGCTAAGGAATATGGATGCACTGTGGAGTCAAACCTCAATGTATCTCATTAACATAACATCTTAATATAGGGCTCATGCAATGCTGCAAATAGATCATGTTTGGAAATCACACGCAACACTGTGCAAAAATATTGTCCTCATTATTTGGACAGTGGAACCAATTTATGCTGCGTGTGATATGTGGAATTTTATGAAGAAGCAAGATACTTTATAGGCAACACACAACAACAGGAGATCAATAATTGCGGGGAGAAATGCTGGATTCAATCAGAAACACAAGCTCAATATGAAAAAAGAGACTCTAAACATCATGAGCAAGGAATTGAGTGGGAATATACTGAACAATGCAACAACACACAAGGCAAGGAGCATAAGGAATAACTACCCAGATTCTTAGAATAGCAAGCACATTACATTTAATCCATTATCTGTCCAACTAACAGTAAGCTTTTGCCATTCCAGAAACAACAACACAGTAGAGGTTCATATTAACTCACTTCAAATCTACTGTGCTCTTTACATTTCCCTGCGTTGCATAACATGGTTCACATGATCTATATTTTGAAACGTTTACAAATTAAAAAAAAAAAACTATAATAAGCTTCTGCACAAAGATGTCAAGCCATGAATAGACATAAATCATAGATCTTTAACATGAATAGACATAAACCGTTGATCCTTCTTTGATCAGAATTAGTAGTTGAATGAGAAGAACAAGCGTAAAAGCAAGAAGCATTTTTCAATGCTTTTGCATTTCTTTGTGCAAATGTTCCTTTTCTCCCGTGGAGTTATTAACGTGCTCTTTGCTTATGTTATCAAGGCAAAGGCATATATCAGCTGCGTTAGCTGCTTTCCAGGGTGGATGGAGCCATTCCCAAAACTACAGGAAAGTTTGTATCTTCAAGTACATTATTGGCATCCGTTAAATCACCATTTGCTGTGAGTTTGTGAAAGCAACTGTTGGAGGAACTATATTGCAATATTAATTCAGAATGGGAGATTTGCAGAAGGCATACATGGATCCAAAAGGAGTACAAGAGATGATGCACCAAAGGCAAAAACACTAAGCCACAACAGATTTTTGGCCAAATTTGCTATTTGCAAAGGAGGTCTATATGCTGCATACTTCATGGGCTAGTTTTTATAAAGCTTCTCATCATATATCTAGTTATGCAAGGTGTACTATCACTGTTGAATACATTTTTCAACCTTGATAATAGGACTTATGTAATTTTCATTAGTTATTCTTTACATCTTGTAAAACTACATGACATTTTTCATTAATTATTCTCTTATTTTCTGAAAAGCATAATTCAAAAATTTTTGCACTCCGATTAAGTAGGTTTCATCAAGCCGATTATCAACAAGTTGCATCCATTGCTTACTAGGTGCCATAACCTTGGAGTGTAGATAAATAATAGATTAAAGAAAGATAAATGACATGAAAAATACTAAGATGAACACAAGTTATAACGATCAGATGCACACAATTGTGTGGAACTCTAAGGTCACAATAGGTGATTAGGCTCTTTTTTTTTTTTTCCAGTTTGTAATGTACAATCAAATGGCACTAAGATAAATAAAAGATGATAAATTAACGTGTAATTAAAATATAATGCTAGTTCCTGAAACATGTATACATGGTTCCTTCTGGCCTGCCCCGAGATCGAAGTAAGTACTAAAACTCAAAAAAATACAGATAATATAGTTTGCGACACAAGATCATCAAAAATAACGATTGCGACTAAAAATACTATTTGTTAGTAATTGGTGTGAGATCGTGAATTTCTTTGAACTATTGCTCATGTTATAGAAAAGAAAAAATATGAAGACTCTGACATCAAATTGAAAGAACTCGATCCAAAATACCACTTCTCTTGCCAATTCACAGCTGATTCTGTTGCAATGAATTCAGCAGAATTCATTATCACAAACACATATCAAGAAATAGCTGGAAGGTAAGAATTGGAACTACGTACAGTGACCAAACATTTTGATTTAATTAATACTGTTACTTGACCAACTACTCTAGGCAGATGTTATAGTATGCAATAAAGAGCAAATCTTTAGGTTTGCGTTCTGATTACAATGGTGACTAATAGGGATATTGTCTGTGTTAATTCTATTAGAAGTTGGTTTGACCAAATAATTGCGTGGGAGTTTATAATTGAGATATCCTTTTCCAACTCTGTGCTTGTCATGTTCTAACTCTTTTATATCACGGCATAGTAAGACTTAATTCTCTTTTCACGATCAGGCGTTTCATTATTAGGCACAATCTATTTTTGAAACGGCAAGCATATGGTCGCCAAATTTAATTTTTTATACTGTTATTTAAAGACGTAAATGTATAGGTTTTGCAGAAGCTCGTCTTTAAAGCAGAGAGCTACTAAGTAAGCACTCATATATATTTCAGTATCGCTCTTTCACTATCATCGAATACACACCACTACTTAGTAAGTGTATTTGCTCAAAAGTTTGCAAATTTATGGATCTCATTCCTGAATACTTCAACATATGCGGTAAAAACTCAGAACCAAATACTTCAACATATTTCAGTATCGCTCTTTTACAGGTTTAATGTTAGAGAAGAAGAAGAGGAAGTCAAATATAGCAAAGTAGTGAATCGATTTCCAAACGAGCAACTCAGAAAGCGAGGTTGAAAAAGAAGAAAAGGAGCAACTCAGAAGAGGAGGCATACCTGAATTCGCAAAGAGAGGTTGAAAATTAGGGCAGGCTTTCGATTCACAAATCAATTCGTAACCCTTACTTTGAGAAAACAAATATTCGGAGAGATTGATAGAAAGAGGCAGAGCAGCGTTCTTGTGTTTTGAGACTAGGGCAGGATGCAGGCCGACGAGTTTGTTTTGGAAAAACAGAGTTTAGTTTTTGGAATTTTTAATTAATTAGTAAATTAGTTTTGGCGCCTATTTTTTAAAAAATAATATTTTTTTAATATTCTAGTATTATATTGGCGGCATTCTCTCCCGCTCATAGCCCCTCAATTATAATTTGGGACCAGTTACTAATTTCTTTAGAGACCATATTTAGTACCTTCGCAATAAAATACAGAATTAAGGACCACAATATAATGTCGTCGCAATACATACACTTTTAGAGACGGGATTATTAACCCGTCCCTAAATGTTGGTCGTAGATAAACCTTTTTCTTGTAGTGTGTGTCGAATGAAAAGAACAGTAAATAGAGGAAAAGTGGAAGGGGACTTCAAGGTCTGCGGATGCCAGCAGATCTACCTCGAGTCTCCAAATGCTAATCTGAGCTGAAACACATATTCTTTTCAACCAATTCACTTGCCACAAACCATACACAACATAGCCCTTATTTTCGTTAAGCACTTCTATACTCCCACTAGCACAAATTAGTAAGATTGTGAGGTGTTTATTTTTTTACATACCTTAACTATCATTTTTTTTCTTGCAATTTTTCTTTTTTCTTTCTTTTTTTTTCTTTCTGTTTTTTTTCTTTCTTTTTCTACACACGCTCCACACATTAAATTCATCAGCTAGTGACTTTTGATTTCAACTTTAATGCGCCAAAGGGCCCTTCCATGGTGTTCCACTCAAAAGCGACTCCCCAATCTCTCACCTTACTTCTTTTAGCGACTAAGTGCCTTAGGAGGTAAAGGTTCAACAATCTCAAATTAAGAACGAAATAGGGGTAAGGCTTGTAATGTGGGTGCCAAAGAAAATGTCTATAGGCTCAAAGGGGCTAGCAACAGAAAATTTTATTTTTATGTGACAAGCACATCTATGATCAAGCAAGAAACGCCTACGTCATCTCCTAGATAAGCACCACTTAACAAATTTGCTTCGATTAACACACGGGGCAAGTGCTAGACTACACAGGATAGCACAGAAGATCACAAATCCTTACACACACATTGCACATGACTCAATCAAGACGGTTCTGTTCAACTCTCAAGTCAAGCAAGCACACATAATTGAGAAAAATTAAGCAATATTGCACTATGTGGCATACAAATCAAGCAACTGAGAAAAAGCGTCACAAATTAGGCTATTTACTTTACTTAGATGTCACAATTCAAACCAAATGCACGGGAAGATAGAATATATGTCATAGCCTAATGTGCCAGCATCAACCACGTCAATGAGTATCTTAGAGCAACTCAATTTCTTCATAAACTACTTCTAAAAAAAAAATAAAGTACCCGGTTCGAGATACACCCTTGAAAAAAGAACCGGCATCCAAAGAAAAACCAAAGGATACTACCTAACTATCCTACAAAAAAATCTTTTTGGTATTTTTTGTCGGACCAAAAGATCCATCGTCGGGAAAATTCCGAGCTTTTTCTAATTTTTTTTATTTTTTTATTTTTATTTTTTTTCTTTTCTCAAGCACACTAGACTAAGTAAAACTAATAAAAAAAACAACACACTAGACTAACTAAAACTAATAAAAGAAATAAAGTGATACAATGTATACAAGTACATCACAAGCAGTATTCCTCCCACCCCACAATTAGTATATGCATAGTCCCCAATGCACATAAAAAGGTAAAACAGAGTAGGATGAAAAGAAAACTCACTGTCAGTCGGAGTCCTCCGCCTCAGCTTGCCCTCCATCCGCAGCTCCGTGCACATCATCATTAGGTCCCAGAGGCACCAAACCCATGGGCCCCGTAACATCATAACCAACCTCGTCCTACGCGTCTGAGCCCTTGATAGTGTTTGCATCCTCCGATGAGCGAACAGGGCTGCCAGGCGCAATCACCAACATCTCTTTGGACGAAATCGACAAGTCAATGCGTAAATGCATACGCTTCTGGTCGGTCACACCCATCCTGCTCATGAGTAAATTTAATGAGTTATAGAGGTACCTATTGAAGTTCTCGTCTCTTTCATTCCTTGCTGCCTGAGTGAGCTTCGACGACGTCTCCAATAAAGATGTGATGTCCAATTGCCCTGTAGGAGCCTCCACCACCTCATCATACCCTGGGTTCTCCGGCACCTCTCTAGAGATCATGTATTGCGTGAGCAAGTTGCCGAAGAAAAAACCTCTTAATCTGTCGTCCAAATCTTGTGCGGGTCATCTCCCCCAGCATAAGCTCACCCACATTAATGGGTTTGTCAGTCATCAAAAAGTAGATCTCACACACTCGAGCACGAGTGCACTCGCTGTTATGTTCAACTAGTATAAGTCTAGCTTGCACAAAATCCTGCCACACTTTGGCGGTCTTGTTGAAATCAGAGCGAACTATCTAAAGGTGAATATCGCCTTGCTTTCTGGTTCACTTGGCATTTGAATCAACATCACAAAGAGTGTGACGTATACTTGTGTAGTTTGGGCTTCTGACAAATTTTTGTAGCCTCCTCGGATCAGCATTCTCAACCCCCAAAAATGCACATAAGGACCGCCTATCCAGTGGCATGTCCTTCCCACGTACATGTGACCTGAATAACCCCACATTCCAGTTGGCGTATAGTTCCCAAACCATGCTCAAATTTGCATGCCCGGGGCATTTGTCACACCTCCTTTTTCTACCCCCGGAAAGGGTATAGGGGAGTTTTTTCCAATTTAAGCGACGATCGAAGCGGGATTATTTTATTTAAAATTTAGAGTCGCCACTTGGGATGATTTATGGTATCCCAAGTCACTGGTTTAAATCCCTAATCGAGGAAGTTTGGCTCTGTTTTACAGTCCGCAAAACACAGAAATTCGAGTAAGGAATTCTGTTAACCAGGGAGAAGGTGTTAGGCATTCCCGGGTTCCGTGATTTTAGCAGGGTCGCTCAACTATTATTATTGGCCTATTTATCTGATTTTAAAATATTTTGAAACCTATGTGCATTTTATCCCTTTTAAAGCCGTTGTTAATAATCCGATTGTCACACAACTAATTATTTAATTACACATTGCGAATCATGTCACGGGAACCTTACCCACGATCCACAACATGTTTATTTTATTAACAAGATTAAATTGTGGCCGGGTCACATAAATGTACCCCCGGATTTTAGGAATTAAGCATCACAACTACGTCACAATGGAACCGTACCCGTAGCTATGAAATTATTTAATTAACGCGCCTAAAGCAAACTACGGGAGTTCAAAGCATTTTTCTACATTAGTTAAGATATTGATGTGAGGTCCATAGACTAGGTGAGTGGATGGCACACCTCAATTTTATTAAAGAAAAAGATATGTATTCAACTAAAGTAAATTAAGGATGTTCAGGTTTATTCTAAATTAAAGTTCGATTCTAAAACTACTAATTATAAGTAAGCATTGGACAATATGCTAGACATTTGATTATCTGGGGTAAAATGGGCCAACGATAGGCCCAATTTAATATTTGATCAAGAAAGTAAGATGTTGCAGCTTCCTGGGCTCGAAGCTGAGCCCAAAAGGCATGGATCTTCGAAGACCTCATCAGGTCTAATATGATCAAGGCTATTTTGTTTGGGCTGATGCCCAACCCAACACTCTCATAAAACTCCACATTGAACTCTTTCTTTATTAAATTAACGTAAAACTTTATTAAAAGAAACAAATTAAGGCTGAACACTACTGGGCTCGAAATTGAGCCTAAAGTAAGAGAAAACCAGGTCTGGTCACTCTAGGCCTCATGACAGACATGCCAACCTATGGGGCCAAAATCAAGCCCACATTCAAACTGAAAAACTTAAGCAAACTAAGGCCTTTCTTGATATTCAAGTTGCCTTAAACACACACATAACAAAACATGGTACTGAAATCTGAAGATCAATATGCTGAATCAATTGTATTATCCACATGACATGCAAAGCATGGATATTAGCTAGATTGATCAAACATAACTACCCTGAATCGAGACATGCTGTTCAAGGGAGAAAACTTCAACTAACTTCGACTTTCAGAACCAAAACAAACTAGAATTGATCAAAGACTACTAACATTGCTAATGCTTAATTGTGTACTATCAAACAATTACAAAAATGCTCTCAGAATCAAAAAGATCTTAATAATGACCACATAAACTATTATGGTTGCCTACTGCTTCAAAATCGTCCAATACAATACATGGAATTGACTAAACTAAACTGACCATTCATATGAAAACATCTAGATTCAGAACATTTACATAAAACCAGGATGCTAAACTAAACAAACTATGAATAACACACATATGAAACCACAGTTTTAACATCTTGAACATCTAAATTTCATATTACAGCTCAAACAAAATGCATTCTTTACAGCTTCATTTGCCATTCAAAAAAGTTCATAGGAGTACATGAAAATCAAGAACAAAGGAAAATGGAGTAAGGATTTCAAGCAGAAAAGACAATAGCAACTAGTCAGCAAAACACAGCTCCAGCTTAGTCCATATTCGAATTAGAAATCCTGAAAATCCAGAGGAAATTTCAGAGTATTTTTCCAGAAAATCAGAAAACAAGCTAATTCAGCCTTTCTTAAATAGTGCAGAACTTGTTTGGGTGTTTTCTAGGGTCTGAAATCTGTATCCGTGTCTGTGTAAAATGAGTGAGGAATGGATACTTTTATAGGCCTAAATGCCATGTGCTGGAAAAAAAGAATTAGGAAATTATTCCCTCACACAGCCCCTAACAGCATCTTTTTTAACAGACATGGGACAGCTGTCAGCCTCTAATTGGTTTCAGCATTTTTGTGCTGGCCAAATAGGGCCAGCTGCCCCTATTCTAGAAGCTTCTAACATTAACCTTATCTGAAAATCTTATTTCTATTTCCCAAATTAACCCCCTAAGTTTTTTTATTATTCAATTAACCCCTCCTAAGTTTCTAACGATGCCAAATCAAACAAACATGGACCGGGCCAGCAATTTACCAAAATAATGATCAGAACAATAGTCAAGCAGTAATAAAACAAATGCAATTAAA